AGCCGTTCTTCTTGCAGCCGCAGTGCTCACACTTCCACTTCCGATTGGGCCCCTTGGAGCCACCACGCTTGCTACTGCCACGCTGGTCTGCCCACGATACACTCTTCTGGTGTCCACTCGAAGCGTCATCTCCCCACGCCATGAAGAGACTTGCGCCCGAGACTCTGAGCAAGGCCGAAGCGTGAAGTGCGTAAAAAAGGCGGACCCTCACCTTGGGCAGGGCCACTGATCGAGGGTCGTGCGGGTCTCTGACCAGCTCGAGCCCCGACCCCAGGGAAGGCGAAGGCCCCAGGCAACGGCTTGAGCCAAATGGCTACGGACCCTCCTCCCTCCTCCTCCTCCTCCTTCTCCTCCTCCTCCTCCTCCTCCCTCCTGCTCCCTCCTCCTCCTCCTCCTCCTCCTCCTCCCCCTCCTCCTCCTCCTCCTCCTCCTCCTCCTCCTCCTCCTCCTACTCCTCCTCCTCCTCCTCCTCCTCCTCCCTCCTCCCGTCCTTGCCCTCACTGTGGCACACCCCGCGCACGTTTCGTGGCCCCACAGGGAGCTCCACCGAAGGCCCCAGTGGCATGCTTCGCATGCCGCCCCCACCTCCACTTTGGCACACCCTCACGCGTTTCGTGCCCCATAGAAAGCTCCACCGATTGCCCCAGTGGCATGCTTCGCATGCTGCTCCCATCCACGTTGGCACACTCCTCACATGTTTCGTGGCCCCACAGGGAGCTCCACCGAAAGCCCCAGTGGCATGCTTCGCATGCTGCCCTCCTCCACTTCGGCACACCTCTCACACGTTTCGTGGCCCCACAGAGAGCTCCACCAGTTGCGCCGGTGGCATGCTTCGCATGCTGCCCCCCTCCGCTTTGGCACGCCCCTCACACGTTTCGTGGCCCCATGGGAAGTTCCGCTGATTGCCCCAATGGCATGATTCGCATGCTACCCCCTCCCCTGCACACCCCTCGCACGTTTCGTGGCCTCACAGGGGACTCCACCGAAGGCCTCATTGGCATGGTTCGCATGCCGCACCCCGTCCAATTTGGCATGCCGCTCACACGTTTCACGGCCCCGCATAGGAAGACTTCCCGAAGGCGTCAGTGGCGGCGTTCGCATGCGTCCCCCCCACCCAGTGCAACGTTTCGTGGCCCCCGTAGAGAACCCCACCGAAAGCCCCAATGGCGGTGTCCACATGCCTTTCCCCCACTTGGTAAAACGCTTCGTGGCCCCATGGGGAGCTCCACCGAAGACCCCAGTGGCGGTTTCCGCATGCGTTTCCCCACCCAGTGCAACGTTTCGTGGCCCCATGGGGAGCTCCACCGAAGATCCCAGTGGCGGTGTTCGCAGGCGCTTGCACCACCCAGTACAGCGTTTCGTGGCCCCATAGGGGGCTCCACCGAAGGCCCAGTGGCGGCCCCGCCTCATTGAGACGCGCCCCTCACACGTTTCGCGGCCTCATAGTGGGTTCCACTTAATGCTCCTGTGGGTGGCAGCGCCCACATGGCGGCCCCGCTGAATGTCGGCACACACTTCGCATGCTTCATGGCCTCATGAAGAGACCCCCCACAGGCGGTACCCGCAACGGCGGTACTCACAGATGCTCGACCGTATTGATTGACGCTAGACCCTTGAACGCCTAAGCTGAATCTTTGTGAGCAGCGCAAGGCCAACGGAACTGGCCAAGGGTGGGGCGGAGAGGCAAGGATGCAAGGGTGCCCTGGACAAGCTATTCATCCTCGACATGACTTTAGGTCGGGCATGTCCCCCTACAGGCGGATTTTGGAAGACAAACAAAAAACACAAAAATTGCCAAACACAAAAAACGTCCTCAGACTATTTATACTATTTTTGAACATACCTCCTGTAGAGGGACGTGCTCGACTTTACTGTAGGCAGCCACGGCGAGACGAAAGGAGCTCTGCGCACCGCGACACAGGGGCAGGTGTGCGGTGGCCAACGCAGGCCGCCAACGCGGCACGCCGCGCAGAAACGAGGACGCTCGCGTGCGACCCCCCCAGACCCGTACCCCGTGGAGCCGTGACCCTGTTGTGCACATGTCGGCTTCGGGGGGTCCCTGCCGGGCGCCACGACCGTCGAAGAAGCACTCGAGGTGAACAAGCCGTGCCGGGCAGGGGGTCGAGACCTCTGGGTCGGGTCCCACGTTGCGAAGCCAACCGCGGCGTCGGGGGCCCGGGGGCTCGGATAGGCAGCCGCACGTGAACCCTAGATCCGATGCGCTCCAGGAACAGGTGTTCCCATCCTCCTCAGCACCACGATGATCGTCACCACCGACACCAGAATCACAATTACCTCCCCACCTCTGCCTCCCCTTCCCATCCGAATCCTCCTGCTCCTATGAGCAGCAGCAACGTTTCACCCATTTTCTCCGTTGTGACTGGTCGAGATTCGTCGGACGGACGCGCCGGACGGCGTATGACATCCCAGTCTAAGGAGGGGGAGGCGGAGGAAGAGAGATCACTGCGGGCGCCCGACCGCCAGTTAGGACGCTGTAGAGCCGGCTCTCCCGCGGACCACTTCGTCAGGACCGCTTCGCCCCGCCAGCCGACCGTGGTCCGCCCGCTGACCCGCCAGTGGGGTCCCCGCCCGCCGGACCCACCCGTCCGCCCGCCCGCTCGAATGCCCCCTCCGCCCAGCCCGCCCGACCCGCCCGCCGGGGTCCACCCCGCCCGACCCGCGCCCACCCGCCTGGCCCGCCCGCTGGTGCCCGACTGCTGCTGGCGAGAGCTCCGCCCACGGAGCGGCCCGCCGGCGGAGCGGAGCACAGCTCCGCCGGCGAAGCGGTCCGCCGGCGGAGCGGAGCTCGCGCGGAGCAGCGTGCCGTTGGGCCTTCGCGGGGGGGGGGGGGGGCAGGTTCAGGAGGGAAAAAAAAAACACAGACACAATGAATCGTCTGTCGATTCCCCAGAACATATGGGAAAATATGGGAAGTGGGGGGGAAGGCAAGAACCCAGAACAGATTGGGAAATATGAAGGATCCTGTTGTTTGTGCGTGTTCATTTGTGTGCCCCAGGGCCCCTTCACAGGCTTAAACCCTGGGGGGGGCAGGTTTGAACCTGGACCCTGGGAGGTCAGTGAGGAGACGGCCAGCGGTGGCAGCACTGGTGCTTTGGGCATGGGGCCAGGACGTGAGACGTCGGGCTGTGCAGAGACAGCCCCCCGGGCAGTCCCCCGAGCAGCCCCAGCTGGCCTTGGGCCTTCGGGGGGGGGGGGGGGGGCAGGTTCAGGAGGGAAAAAAAAAACACAGACACAATGAATCGTCTGTCGATTCCCCAGAACATATGGGAAAATATGGGAAGTGGGGGGGAAGGCAAGAACCCAGAACAGATTGGGAAATATGAAGGATCCTGTTGTTTGTGCGTGTTCATTTGTGTGCCCCAGGGCCCCTTCACAGGCTTAAACCCTGGGGGGGGCAGGTTTGAACCTGGACCCTGGGAGGTCAGTGAGGAGACGGCCAGCGGTGGCAGCACTGGTGCTTTGGGCATGGGGCCAGGACGTGAGACGTCGGGCTGTGCAGAGACAGCCCCCCGGGCAGTCCCCCGAGCAGCCCCAGCTGGCCTCGACAGGGCCCCCGAGCAGTCGGGGGCGGTCTCAACGCCTCAACCCTGGGGCGCGCGGAGCGCCACGGGGCCGCTGGAGGCGGCGCCAGGGGGTGGAAACCGCCCCGGAATGCTCGGGGGGCCTGTTGTGGATGGGGCCCAGGGACACACAACTAAATACACACACGCACACACGCACACTTACACCTACACACTTACACACTTACACACTTACACACTTACACACAAACACACACACTTACACACTTACACACTTACTTACTTACTTACTTACTTACTTACTTACTTACTTACTTACTTACTGACTGACTGACTGACTGACTGACTGACTTACTTACCTACTTACTTACTTACTTACTTGCTTACTTGCACACACACTTACTTACACACTTACTTACACACACTTACACACACTTACACACACTTACACACACTTGCACACACACACACAAACACACACACACTGTCCAAGGATTCCCTATGTATATATTATCATATGTTATGGGTATTTCTCTTCCTCCCCACTTCCCATACTTCTCGATATTTCCCTGGGACTTGACGATTAAAATCGTGTCTGTAAGATTTCGTTCCGCACCTGATGTCGCTATGTTGAGGCCCGGCGGGGCTACCTCGGGGCGCGGCCTGCGCGCAGCCCGAAGCAAGCTCACCAAGTCGGGCCCGAGTTATCCCGGGTAACTCGGGTCCAGGGTAGCTCGGGTTCGGAATCCCGAAAACAAGCCCGAGTTAGCCCTGACCCGAATTACCCCTGATGATTCGGGGCTCTGGACGCCCGAATTCTCCAGGGTAACGCGGGTCCGGGGCAACTCGAGCTCGGAATCCCGAAAAACGAACCCAAGTTAGCCCTGACCCGAGCTACCCCTGATGATTCGAGGCTCTGGACGCCCGAATTCTCCAGGGTAGCTCGGGTCCAGGGCAACTCGGGCTCGGAATCCCGACAAACGAGCCCGAGTTAGCCCTAACCCGAGATACCCCTGAGGATTCGGGGCTCAAGACGCCCGAATTCTCTGGGGTGGCTCGGGTCCAGGGTAAGTCGGGCTCGGAATCCCGACAAACGAACCCGAGTTAGCCCTGACCCGAGTTACCCCCATGATTCGGGGCTCTGGACGCCCGAATGCTCTGGGGTAGCTCGGGTCCGGGGCAACTCGGGCTCGGATTCCCGACAAAACGAGGCCGAGCTAGCCTTAGGTCGGGCTTGTCCCCCTACAGGGGGATTTAAGGCGAAAAATTAAAAGTACTCGGAAAATACTGCCCAAATGCTCAAAAAATTGTCAAACAAATCTGCCCCAGACAATTTTTGGACTATTTTTGAAGAGGGACAGGCCCGACTCAAAGTTAGCCCTGACTTGAGTTACCCCTGATGACTCGGGGCTCTGCGGGAGCTCCAGCGCGCTGCTGGGCGCGCTCTCGGCCCCGGTCCTCGACCTTCTTGACCAGCGCCTCGGCGCCCGCGCCGCCCATGCGCGCCAGGGCGTCCCCCGCACGCTCGCGCACCGAGGCGTCCTCGTCGCCCAAGAGTTCCGCGATGGCTGGCACGTGCTCGGGGCTGATCTCCTCCGCCAGACGATGAAAACATCGGCATCAACAGAAAACATTGGCGCTCCGCGCGGATTTCTTGGATCCGCGCTGGACCCCCCTCCCTGGCGCGCGGAGCGCGCCAAGGGCGGCGCCGGAGGCGCCGCCAGGGGGGCCTAGCGCGGATGCAAGAAACCCGCGCGGAGCGCCAACAAGTTATGTTTATGTCGGCTATACGCAAGAGTGACCCTGGGTAAGAGTGACCTTTGGTGCGCGACTTTTGGGGGGCCGCGGGGGGACCAAACCTGGGTGCGCAAGCAGCTGCTACTGCTTCGTTTCCAGCCATCTGGGTACCCATCCGTGCCCGCACCAAAGGTCACTCCGGAGAGAAGGGTCACTCTTACGTCTAGCCGATTCTGGCGAGATCCCTCCTTCGACCCGCAGGGCCCGTCCGCATCGGCTCGGGGAAGAAAAAGCGGGCCGCATCGAAAACGGGGGCGGACCGGGGAAGGGCCGCACGTCGGCGCGGGGCCAGGCTCGGACCGGGGAGGGGCCGCGCCGGGAGGCACGGCTGCGCCGTGCGGAGCACCGGGCCGCGCCGGTGTGCTGGGAGGTCGAGGCAGTATCGGATCGAACGGCCCGACAATCGATATCGAATCGGATTTGCTCGCATCAGATCGGGCCCTGCCTCCGCCATCTGATTCAGCGCGAAGACCGCCCGCCACCGCACCTCCACCTGGGGGCTCGTTCCCTACCACAAACTCGCCAGCAACAGCTGATTTCTAGGATCTGGTCGCCAACAAAAACTCTGGACATAAAATGAGCCCAGCGCGACCCCAGTTAAGGCTTAAGGGTCTTATTTCTCCCAAAGTTGTTTAAAGCAGTTATGCGCAACGCAAAGCAATGCAACGCAAAGCATAGATTGGCATTGCTTTGCATTGCGTTGCGTGGTGTTGCTTGGCACTGCTTGGCGTTGCTTCTTGGCAGCACTTGGCATTGCTTGATATTGTTTGGCATTGCAGTTGCACTGCATTTGCACTGTTTGGCATTGCGTGGCAGTGCTTGGAATCGTGCTGCATTGCTTTGCATGTTGCTCGCCGCTGCTTGACGCTGCTTGGCACTGCTTGGCCTTGCTTGGCATGGCTTGGCAGTGCTTGGCGTTGCTTGCGATCCATTGGCACTGCCACTGGAGAGCCCCGATGGAGCCTCAGGCGACGCCTGGGGCGGAAAGCTGTTCCCCGAGGAAGCCTGGCCGAGGGCCGCCTCTGACGAAAGGCCCCGGGCCCACTGCCTTCGCCCATAAACGAATAGAGTTAGGTCGGGCGTGGCCTCCTACAGGCGGGTTTCGGACGGAAAATAATGTCAACAAATATTCAATTATTCACTGCGTGGAGCTCCCCATATGTGCATCTACTCGCATGGACCTGTCCGCCGTGAATGTCTAGGCGCAAGAGCTTTCGAATATTAACGGGCTTCAGTTGTGACGGTCTGGACATCAATCTAACTGCGAATGAATTGGAGTGTGAATGAGCCTCAGTAGTACGAGCGCGTCTCTGTGCATGAGCCTGGGGCCTCCTGGGGCCTCCTGAAACCTACTGGGGCTTCCTGGGGTCTCCAGGAGCCTCTTGGGACCTCCTGGGACCTCCTAGGAAGGTTTCGTGCCCCAGGGGAGGCGCAATCTATAGCAACAGACGTACATAAAACATTGCGGATTAGAGCCACAGGAGAAGGGCAATCTATAGGAACACGCGTAAAACACCAAGGACTCGTGCCCCAGGAGAGGCCCAATACATAGGAACATGAGTAAAACATTTAGGATTGTGTACACAGGAGAAGGACCATCTATAGAAACATACGTAGAACATCAAAGAATCGTGCTCCAGGTGAGGCCCAATCGATAGGAGCATACGTAAAACACATGGGATTGGAGCCACTCCTGTTGCCTTCTGAGGCCTCCTGCTCCTGGGGCCTCTCGGGGCCTCCTGTTGCCTTCCGAGGCCTCCTGGCGCTTCCTGTTGTCTCCTGGGGTCTCCTGTGGTTTCCTGAGGCCTTCTGGAGCTTCCTGGGGCCTCCTGGAGCCTCTTGGGACATCCTGTGGCCTCTTGAGTCTTTCTGTGGCCTCCTGATGCCTCCTGGGACCTCATGTGGTCTCCTGGAGCCTCCTGGAGCCTGTTGGAGCCTCCTGTGGCATCCTGAGAAGAATCTGCGCCCACGAGCCTGGCCACCAAAACTAGCAAACCGATCGAGACATCCTCAAAATCTGGCCCACCTGGGGGGTGAAAATGAGCGCCTCGCTCGAGACATCCTCCAAATCTGCTCCGAAAGCGAAGGATGTTGGGCACAGAAACAGGCAAACCGCCTGAGACATCCCCACAAAATGGCCGCGAACGAGCCCGTGCAACCACCCCTGGCGGCTCCCCTTAGGGGTGCTGAAATGAGCGCCTCGCTCGAGACATCCTCCAAATCTGCTCCGAAAGCGAAGGATGTTGGGCACAGAAACAGGCAAACCGCCTGAGACATCCCCACAAAATGGCCGCGAACGAGCCCGTGCAACCACCCCTGGCGGCTCCCCTTAGGGGTGCTGAAATGAGCGCCTCGCTCGAGACATCCTCCAAATCTGCTCCGAAAGCGAAGGATGTTGGGCACAGAAACAGCAAACCGCCTGAGACATCCCCACAAAATGGCCGCGAACGAGCCCGTGCAACCACCCCTGGCGGCTCCCCTTAGGGGTGCTGAAATGAGCGCCTCGCTCGAGACATCCTCCAAATCTGCTCCGAAAGCGAAGGATGTTGGGCACAGAAACAGGCAAACCGCCTGAGACATCCCCACAAAATGGCCGCGAACGAGCCCGTGCAACCACCCCTGGCGGCTCCCCTTAGGGGTGCTGAAATGAGCGCCTCGCTCGAGACATCCTCCAAATCTGCTCCGAAAGCGAAGGATGTTGGGCACAGAAACAGGCAAACCGCCTGAGACATCCCCACAAAATGGCCGCGAACGAGCCCGTGCAACCACCCCTGGCGGCTCCCCTTAGGGGTGCTGAGTATGAGTAAGTCTGTGTATGAGTAAGTCTGTGTATGTGTACGTCTGGGTATGACTAATACTGTGTATGAGTAAGTCTGTGTATGAGTAAGTCTGTATATGAGTATGTCTGAGTGTGAGTAAGTCTGAGTATGAGTATGTCTGAATATGAGTAAGTCTGAGTATGAGTAAGTCTGTGTATGAGCAAGTCTGAGTATGTCCGACAGGAGGGGAGGAGAAAAGAGGAGGAGGAAGGAGGAGGAGGAGGAGTAGGAGGCGTCCAAGTAATAACAAGAACCCATCTTAGGATATGGGGAAAAATACGAAAAACTAATGACAAATCGTCCCCTGAATTTTTTGGGACTATTTTTGAATATTCCCCCTGTAGAGGGACCGGCCCAACTCAAGAGTAGAGACCAACAAAAACCCAAGCAGAGCGAAACTGTGGACGTGGCGTGACCGAGGGCAGCCGCCGACACGCCTGTGCCGAGGAACCTCGAGCGCCGAGGGAGGAGGGGCAAGGGCCTGCGGGTCGGGGGCGGCCAAGAGGGGGGGGGCGCAAGTCATGGCCGGCGGCATGTGCGCGGCCCGTTGGGGGGGGCCAGGGACGCAATGAAATACGGAGAGGCGCCATGAAACCTGAGGAGATGCCACTGCCCACGCCATGATATCCCCCCCTAGTCATTACCCTCCTCTTGGCCGCCCCCGAGCAGGGGAGCGAGGAAAGAAGCAACGCCGGGGCCAAAGCGACGAGACCTCCACCTGGGGGCTCTTCAGCAGCGCCGCGACGGCCTCCCTGCAGCACCCGGCGGCGGGCTCTTGGCCGTCCGGCGCCAT